GTTCTCTGGTTCCACATAATTAATTCAATAAGCAATTAATTCAAAATAGCAATTGTCAGAATATGTTTTCCTGAAAGGTCAGAATATACTTTGGTGAACAAGGATGTGCAATACTTGCACAGTGCCCTGGGAAACATGGCATGGGAAAATGTAATTGCTGCAACTTAAAGGTAGTAGGCATTCTCTTTCTGCCTCTACGATAAATTTAAAAATCGCAAAGATCATTCAATATAAATAGCTCTCAGAGCCAAGGATCCTTGGTGAGAGTTCAGCCTTTGATCTTGACTCACACGGCAAGAGGCATCTTCCAGATCTAGGCCAACTCACCAGCAAAGCAGGGCAGATGATCAGAAAGCCAGACCTGTGCTAACACACTGCTGAAGAGTCCACCAACTCGGACACAGGCTCTCACAAGCAATGAGGACCTCCATGTGGCTCTGCTGCTGGTGCCAGGGGTATCGATTACGCATTTAGGACCAACACTGCAAGTACCACAAGAACCCCTGGGCTCATCCCTCCAGGCCTCAGTTTTTCTCATCTACCAGGGTACTTCAAAGTCATGGAAAAACAGAATTACAAGATGTCTCAAAATCCATTCCTAGCTATTCTGTGAAGCTCTCTCCAAAATATTTCAAAGTAGACATACTAATATCTGGTACCATAAACACAGAGAACGCTGATTTTGTTTGTGACAATATGTGTTCAACATTCACTGCCCAAAGGCCCAAGGGTGTCCCTAGGGACACTTTGGTATTTGCGGAAGTCAGAACCTTAACTACTACAGGAAAGAGTCTGTTGAGTCAGGGCCCCAAAACGTCTAACAGTACTTCTCACAAAGTGAGGTAATAGAAGTGTCTACAAAACTAGAGGGCTCTACTATTTGCAGCAAATTCTGCTCATGTGATACAAATTGTCAAGTCTTTTGCCTCAAGCCAACATTTATCTGAATATTTGCATATGTGACAGGGCTTCAAAAAGCTCATGGAAAGTATCTGCTATGCAAAAACTATGCATGGTTGTGGGTATTCAGCCTAGTGGTTAGCATACTGGTTAAGGTGTCCTGTCCCAGAGGCTGGTATTGTAGCATAGCATGTTAAACTGTTACCTGGGATGCTGGGCATCAGCTTCTGTCCTGGCTATTCCACTTCCAATCCAGCTCCCTGCTAATGTGCCTGGGAAAGCAAAAGAAGACGGTCCTAGTGCTTGGGCCTATGTCACTCACACAGCTTCTTGTTTCTGGCTTCTGCCTGGCTCAGCCCTGGCTCTAGGGGGCTTTCAGGCAGTGAATAAGGAATGGAATGTGTGACTCTATCTAGAACTTTTTCAAAGAAATGTTTTATTTTTTAATGCCCTGTCCCATATCAGTGTGTTTGGCTTGATGCCCAGCATGTTACTGACTCCAACTTCCTGCTAATACAGACCATCGGAGGCAACGGTGATGGCTCAAGTAATTGGGTTCTGTACACGGGGTTGAATTCCTGGCTCCCAGGGACCTCTGATCCTGCCCAGGCCAGTCCCAATTGCTGTTGGGAATTGGTGGAATTAAGCAGCAGATGGCAGCTCTTTCTAGCTATCTATTGACCTCTCACATTTTTTAAAAAATAAGAACAACCATATATGGTCTTAAAAAAACCTTTTTGTTACAAATAGAAGTATGTTATCAAAGACAGTAAGATTGAAAAATCATTTCTCAGGGGAAGGCTAAAAAGTGCCATGCAGAGAGAAGGCTTCCATGAAGAGGCCAGGAAAGATTTCTCTGAGAAAGCAGCATGTGGTGGGGGTGTGTGTGGAGAACAGCTGGAATTCTGGCTGGGGTTACCTACCCTGAGGTTCTTCCAAGCAGAACACAAGTCCGGGACCCAGGCTAGAAAGCTCAAGGCAAGAGGCAGGAGCCCATTTGGGGGCAATGGTTTCACAGAAAAACAACACTGTCATTCAGGAGCCAACACTGACAGGCTTGATCTTTAGAACACTGAGTATCAATCGAACAAACAAAAGCCAAGAACAGGGATGTTCAGTCAAGACACTCAGTTTTGATATTCTGATTCAAAGAGCAAAAGGTTATCAAGTTTATCATTGTTATTCTACCACAACTCATGAAAGTCTCCATTAGCTTCTGGAAGAGTCAAAAGGCCACTCAACTGACAAAGCTAGTTTAGCCTGTATTCAAATTTAGCTCCTAAATTAGCTCTAAAATAAGTGAGCCTCAGAAACAAATGAGAAGCATTTTAAAAATTTAGGATATAACATCATTTGTCAACCATATGCTCTACAAAGTTTTCTATACAGTTTTAGCGTAACATATTAATAAGAAAGAGAAGTTAAACCCTGACCTGACCCCAAGGGCTTCCTCAACCATTGGAAAAACTGTGTGTGCTAACAGAAATTCTGAGCCAGCAAACACCAAACATTATTCTGTAATTATGTATACGGCTAAGGCTGGGAAAATAGTAACAAATTTTAAACTCCCTTTCAAATATTTCCGAAATTAAAATACATTTTCAAAAGAGTCATTTTACAACCACAATCTTTTAACAGAAACCAAAGTTTTATCTGGAGAGTTCAATCTTACTAATTCAGAAAGGGGAAGGAAAATAAGCAAAGGATTGTTTCGGCTTAAGAAGAAATCCTATTGCACCTTTTAACACTATTTTTATGAGTTTATGGACAGCAAGCTCAAGATACTGAAATGCAGTGTTTTTACAAACACGTAGAAACCCCTTAGTTACAGGTCTTTCACACAGAAAATGCTATAGAAAAAACACCTAGCTGAAAATCAGCAGGGTGAGACCCTGGCATTAGTTGGGCCACTGTTTGTGCTGCTTTCAAAAACCACTGAATGTCTTTGGGACGTCACAGCGCCATGCTCAACTGAGAGCTGGATTACACAATCTCTAAAATATTGAATCATGAGACATAATTTTAAGTGACAAAAATCTGTAGCTGCCGTTATTGGGCCATGAAGGCAGGGGGGTGGAGGAGAATAAAGCAAGCTTTGTATGAAGGCTAATCAGAGTTCAAAACCAAGCTCCAGTGAGTCCAGCAGACTTAAATGTAAAGGCTTATCATTGGCTTTTGCAAGATATTAGGAGATACACGTAATGCACCTGGCACACTGTACACACTCAGTCAAAGCATGTTTGACATCCCTGGTCAGTCCTGTGGATTTTAACGGGAAATGATCATCCATTCAGTGGGCAGTGGAGAAGCGGTTACAGACAACAAGGGAGAGGCTGCCTGGCTGGCCGCAGGGAGCGTAAGTGCAGGGAGCTGGAGATGAGCAGAGGCTTGAGCCTTGCACACAGTAACAAGGAAAAGGACAATAACATGGACCACAGCTCTGCAGGAGAGAAAATAATTTTTCAGCAGGAGGACCCCTGGAATTACTGCAATGGTGTCTAACCAAAATACAAGGAAGCAGAAAGCTTTTTAGAGTGAGCAGGTGTCACAAAAAAAATAAATAAATAAATAAATAAATAAACCCAAGTGAATATTGCAGTACACCCATCATCCTTCAGCCTGCCTACAGCTCTCAGCTGAGACAACATGCTCCCTCAAAATGCTTCAGTGTCACCTCCTGCCACTGTCCGCTGCCCCACTCTCTCCTAGGTCCACTCTGCTGCTGCCACACCAGCTTCCCCTCATTCCTGGAACAGGTTAGGCTCTCAAGACCTGTGACAGTTGTATCTGCTTAGAAACTTCTGGCAGATCTTCCAGAACGGCTGAGTCAGCCTACAGAGTCTACCCCAAAGCACCACTTCCTCAGAAAAGCCTTCCTCACTACAGTATACCATCCCACACCACTCTGCTGCCTCACTCAAAGCACCTACCCTGCACTGTCTCTCCTAGCATTTATTGCAATCTGGAATTACTTTCATGTTTACAAGTTTATTGTATTTCCACCACAATGTCAGACTGTGTAGCATGGGCACCTCCTTGAATATTCAGTGTTCAACACTTGACAGAACACATAACTCAGACACTCCCCAGATAAAATAGTGAATAAATTTCAATGACAGTAATCTCCAACCTAAGAAAACAGGGACAGGTCTTCAAAGGGGGCTTTAATTTCATTTCTTTAAGGCAGTCTGATGCAATGCAATTATGCAGTCATCAAGGGTTTGAGACACCAAGATTTTAAAGGGATACAAAATATTATTTAGGTGTAACCATTTTACTTTGTAAGCATTGTTCTCTACTCTCTTACAAAAATGAGAACCCACAGATAAAGCAAGGACATCCTAAATTCTTTTGTCTTGCTTCTAGAAGGCGGTGTACAGGTAGATGTATAATACCTTCCTGAACTTCCCCAACAAGGACCACGGATAAAATAAACTGGACTAATTCCAGTTACTTGGTGGTTAGCCCTGCAATTTTGCTACCTTGCTAAACTTTGCAATCTATTACTGGGTAAACTGACAAAGTCAGTCACTCTACCTGCAAAAGAGAAGACAAATGCTATAGCGAAAAAGTGTCATATTAAGAGAATGATAAAGTTCTACAACACCAAATTAATTTTTATCTAAAAAAGAAAAAGAAACCCCTTTTTAATCTTCAATATGAAATCATCAATGACACTACTGAGATTTCAAAACTGGGCAAGCTATCCATGAGTGGGCAAAGCAGTGAACTGAAAACCTCATTAGAACCTTCATGACTCACGCTTACATTTTTGTTTGGTTTTGTTTGTTCTGAAGGGCAGACCCGTATCGTGGTCTCAGCACTGGCTCGGTCCCCAAAGGGCCTCCCTCGGGGTCCTGAGGCCATGACCGCATCTCTGTGGGCTTGTGCCTTCTGCAGCTTCACTTGAGCATCCCTGGCAGGCTCGGCTGGCCCTGCCCCTCTTCCTCACCTCCCGCCAGCAGCGTTGACACACAGGGCACGCCCGGACTCTGACCTCCAGTCCGCAGGGCTCTGGGTGAGCCCCAGCCTAGTCATTCGATCTCTGAGACTCAGTTTGCCAACCTGTCAAATAGGGTGACAGAGCAACCCCAGCCTACCTCATCTGGCGGTTCCGGGCCGGCCGCCCCAGCCTGGCCCGGGGACTGAGGTTCCGTGGTCGCGCCGCTGCGGCCCTCGCGGGCGGAGGGGCGGGGCGCTGCGGGGCGGGACTGGAGACGAGGCCCGGCAAGGCGACACGCAACCCACCGCCGCCGCCCGCCGCCCGCCGCCCCGGGGCCTCCTCCAGGGCCCGGCCCCTGACGTCAGCACGCTGACGTCGACGCGCGCGGGCCGCAGCCCGCTCGAGGCCTGAGGCGGGGATGCGGCCGATTCGTCAGCGGTTCTGTCACTCATCCGCCGCCCGGTGAGCGACGCGGGGGGGACGGGAGAAGGAGGGCTGAGCTGCCGAAGGAATGTCTGGGAATCTGGGGCTGTGGCCTGAAAAGGCAGCTGGTGGCTGTTTGCACCCAATCGTTTTAATAAGCGTCTGCTGCCTAATGTAGAAGCGTCTTCCGGTTTCTCTCAGTCAGCTGAGGGAGAAGTTGGCTCCGGCTGGTGGGAGTGGTTCTCAGGCCTGCGGGCACCTGGCTGTGCTCTCCAGGAAAGCCACTGGGTGTGCATTTCTCAGCTCTCCTGTCCCCACTCAACTCGCAGCTGTCCCTGGCCTCTTTCCGAGGCCCATTCCCTGGGCCCGCGCTGTGGAACCAGCTCGGTGTCAGCGGTAGTTGCGTCGAATGACATTTGTTCTGTCAGGAATTTGCGCATCCCTTTGTTAGGGTTGCACTGAGAACGTATTAAGCTTTTTTCCCCAGTAGGTGCTGTAGCTGTAACTGCAGTTACAGTGCCATTTGTTTCTGTCCCAGTTCTCCGGGCACACATTATTTGCTAGGTTGTTTTATTTGTTTCAAGATTCTTCTGAAATCATTGTGAAACAAATTTTAAGCCACACAAGTAAAAGTAATTTAAAAAAGCAAACATTGACAATAGACCAGTGTCCTTCTTAGGCATTCATTACAAACCCAGTCTTCAGATGATGGCTCCTGAACGTATTCGTGATGTAGTTTTCTTTCATTTTACACTCAACATTGAAACCTTTCAAGAACTCTAAATGAATCTTGTTCTTCATAATACAGTTTGGTGTACTATACGTACATATATTGTTTTTTCCTGTGGTTTACTTGTTTTTGTTGTTGCTGTGTTTTGCTTTATTTACTTATTTATTTATTGGCTTGGAAATGTTCAAGGAAATCGAACTCTAGCAGAATGCAGGCCATTAGAACAGAGGCAAGGTGGATGACATAGTTTAGTATTGAACGACTGCTTCACATCCAAATGGAATTGGAAGCATGGGAGGATTGTATGTAATTGTTTTAAAGACTTATTTATTTTTATTGCAAAAGCAGATTCACAGAGAAGGAGGTAGAGAAAAATCTTCCATCCGCTGGTTCACTCCCCAAGTCGCCACGATGGCTAGAGCTAAGCCAATCTGAAGCCAGGAGGTTCTTCCATGTCTCCCACATGGATGCAGGGTCCCAAGGCTTTGGGTCATCCTGTGCTGCCTCCCAGGCTACAGGCAGGGAGCTGGATGGGAAATACAGCTGCTGGGGCATGATTTGGTGTCCATATGGGATACTGGCACTTGAAGTGGGAGGATTAGCCAATTGAGCTGTTGTGCTGGGCCCTTATGTAATTGTTATTTATTGGGAATGGGGGCCAGGGTCATTGCAGAGACTGACAAGAAGTAAAAATAGAGAATTCAGAGACCTCATAAAACAAGTCTTTCACAAAGCTTTTAAAATACATTTGGAAAACATGACAAGAATCAGCAGAAGCAACCTTGAGGACAGAAATGAACGTGATTTTTAGCTCTACCCTATTTTAAATACAAAGTGCCCAATGTTTACCCACAACAGCAAAATCAAAGCAAATAAAGAACAGTGATATGTGACCTAATCATAGAAAATGAGAAAAATAAGCAAGACGTAGGCTTTTTAGACAGATTTAAATTGACTGTCAAATATACTAGAAAAAAAAAGAAATTTTGGTTAAAAGAATTAAAGGTAAGTAACAGAAAGATGTAAAAATAAAAGAACCCTATAAATAAAAGGCTTGATGTCACATGAAGAAACCATATAGGAAATCTTGCTCTTAAAAGTACAATAACCTGTGGGTCAAGTAGCCACTTGGGTCTGTGGCATCCTATGTAAGAGTCCCAGCTTTCTTCATTTGCAGTCCAGCTCCTTGCAAAGTTTCTGGGAAGGCACTAGCAGATGACCCATGTAATTGGGTCATTGCCACCCATGCGGGACCAGAGTGAAGTAACTGTCTCCAGGCTTCAGCCTGGCCTATACCTTGTTCTTATAGCCATTTTCAGAGTGAGCCAGCCTCTAGAGGATCATTCACTCTGTCTGCCTGCTTTTCAAAAAGAAGATATTGACTTCTCAAAGTCTATGAACTTGGAGATAGTAAGATTAACATTGTCCCATCTTAGAAGCAAAGTGACACAGCAGTAAAGAAAAATGAGGCAAACCTAGGTGAGAAAAAAAGGGTTACCAAAATAATGTATCAGGGAAGTCCCACAACAAATGAAGAAAGAGATGGAACATTAGATGAGAAAAATATTGTAAAACTCCCTCACTTTTGATAAAGAGAAAGGAAATTCAAAGTTAGAACTCAAAGTGGGGCTGTTACATCAACATTATACTATGAAGAGTTATACACTGCTACACTGACAAATATGTTAATGAAAGTAACAAAGCTGTAGAGATGCACAAATTACTGAAAGTTACTCAAGCAAAAATAGAAAATTTTAACAATTCTAAAACAAATTGAATAGTAATAAATAACACTAATAGTACTTTAAAAGTCTGAGAAAGGAAAAGTCTTAGACTGGATGGCTTGAAGAGTAATTTCTGCCAGACATTTAAACAGTCAATACCAGTTCTACTCAAACTCTTCCAAAAACAAGAAGAAAGGGGAACATTTTCGAATTTGTTTTTGGTACTAATGTCACCTAATACCAAAGCTAAAAACAATAACCAAAAAAGTTAGAGACCAATATCCTTTATGAATATAAATTTAAAATCCTTAGTAAAACATCAGCTATTTGCATCCAAGGGCATATTAAAGGATTATGTGCTATAATCAAGCAGGATTTATCTCGAGTGAAAGGGTGGTTAATGTAAGCAGATCTATTCATATAGTTTTCTACAATAATGAAACAAAAGGAAGAAAAGCACGTACAATGCTCTCAAATGAAACAGAAAAACATTTCAACAAAATATGGTATCTGTGGCAGGTGTTTGACCTAATGGTTAAGATGCTGGTTGGAATGACCACATATCAAGTTGGAATACTTCTGTTGTTAGCTCTGGCTCTCAGGTCCAGCTTTCTGCCAGTGTGGACCCAGGGCAGTAGTGGCAATGACTGGAAAAACTTGGCTCCTAGCACCCCTGGTTGAGTTTCTGGCTTCCAACTTCGTCCTCACAGCTGTTGCAGACATGTGGAGGGTAAACCAGTAGATAAGTGCATGCACATGTATATGAAGAAAGCTGAAATCTTACAAGAAATATGTTTATAATGGGACCAAGGAATACAGATTGGAGTGAAAAGGAAGAGATGAACATGTAAGTTATTTTAAAAAAAGATGGAATTGGCCAGAATTGATAATTACTTGAGAAGATAACGAGGTGGGGGAATATGGTGATTGGAAAATTTTGCCGTTAATTTAAATCAAGAATTAAGCAGCTAGATTTGGAAGGGGTTAAGTTGCAAACTTATTTTGAACACTTTGTATTTGAGATAGGTATGGCTCATTCCATGTGTGGATGTAAAAGGTGATCTAAATGATAAAACTGGAGAGTTCAAATGACATCATCATTTGCAAATGCAAATATGCCTCTATTGCTAGTTGAGGAAGCAAGAAGACCTATTGGCTGCTGAGAAGTTATGTAAGAAGTAGATGAGTAGAAGGAAGCTGCTTAGAGACACAGTGAACTTAGATAAGAATTGAAACACAGGGAGAAAGTCATCAGTGACTAGAAAAAAATTAGTTTTTAAAATGAGTAGGGATTTAAATTGAAATCAAGAGGTAAGTGAAATAGCGCAAAAATTAAGAAAATGTACATTAAGAATCCTGACCAAGTAAGTGCAGAAATATTTAAAAAGATAACTTGTGACTTTGATTTGCAAGGATATGGTGACAGAGAAGTAATGTTCAAGTGGTCTTGAGAGAAGCTTTGATTGAATGGTACCAAGAAACAAGGTCTCTCTTTTTGTCTTGGAGAGGGCCTGCATTTGGTCTATGCTGAAAGGAAGGATTAATACCTTTTTCTCCAACATTTTTGTTGCGTTCCCCTTACTATTTGTTAATGTGCAACTGCATAAGTTTTAGAGTTTGTCAACAGGATAAACCTTTTAGTAATCTCATAATTAAAAGATCACTGGTGCACATTCTAATTTAGTTCTGATAAAATGATGCTATTATATACATTTTAGAAAGTTAAAATCCTGTGCTGAGATTGGTGATTTCAATTCAAAAAGGGAAAAATTCACTAGTTCAACCCTCGAAGGGCATTTGTTAATGGCTGATTGTTGGCTTACAGGATATCTATCCTATCCAAAGAGGTTCACGTGGGCTTTGTAGAGTAGGTTTGGGTAGATTTTGAATACTGTTCATTTCTTATAGTGAATGGAATATAAATTCCAGTAGAACTTATCAGAAAGGCAACTTTAGCTATAGAAATAGAACTGTCATAAATGGAAAAGACAAAGAAAAATACAGTTTATGGGGCCAGAGCTAATGTTAGAATTTCACAGAATTTTGCCAACCCAAGTGATTAGTGAATTTGGTCTTTCCCATCCTGTCTGTCCTTCCTTGAGGGATTTGGTTGTATTTTGGTGAAGCTATTTAGCTCACTGCGGTCTCTCAAGTAACACAGGACCACAACTCAGATGAGAATCCTCTCCTGCTCCACTGAGTGAGTCAAGACAGCCAGGAAGGAAGCATCCTTCTGCCACTGTGACTCACCAGGCATGAGACTGAGCTGGTGACCTGGGAAGGAGCCACTGCACCTCCCTTCCCCGTGGACCCAACACAAGCCACGGCTGGTCTAACCACCAATTCCACACATCAAATTAGGCTTCCATGTTGCAAAGCTGCCAAGAAGTCATGCAGAGGTCATTGGTCTATTCTTCCCAGCTATGTTTGTAAAGTTTGCACACAGTGTT